CTTTGCAAACCTGATCGATGACCCCCTTAGGACGCCTCCTGGAGGTGAACTCCTTGCTCTGGGATACACGTGCTCCAGAGCGCTGACATGGGCCGCAAACTGCTTCCGGGCCGGCAGCTTCCCGGGCTGCCGAAGGAAAGGAACATCGCGGCCGGCAGACAGCAGTCTAGCGACAGCCCTCGGCACGGCAGGTGTGCACGCTGCTGCCTCAGCAACCCCGCTGCGCGAGTGTGACTTTCTGTGTCTGGCTTCTCTGCCGAGCATCATGTTTTCGAGGCCCACCCCCTGGGGGGCCACGTGGCCGGGCTTCATTTCTTTCCGGCCTATTGTCTACAGAGACCACATTTTGCTTTTCCGTTCACCTGCTGCTGAACATTTCGGCTGTTTCCATCCGTGACCACAGTGCTGTGACGCGCGTGTCGGACGCCCTGTTCTCCGTTCTTTTGGGCACGGACCTAGGAGCACGTACCTAGGGTCATGTGGTGACGCTGTGTAACTTTTTCAGGCCCCTTCCACGCCGGTTTCCACAGCAACCGAGCCACTTTCCATTCCCACCAGCGATGTCTACAGGTTCCGGATTCCCCAGGACCTGACAACACTTGTTTTCTGTTTTGTTTCTGCTTTGGTGCCACCGCGCTGGCGGGTGTGAAGTGGGGCCTCCTGGTCCTCATTTGCATGTCCCTGATGACTAATGACATTGAGCATCTATTCCTGTGCTCCTGGCCATTCGTGTCCTCTTCAGAGAAATGTCTATTCAAACCCTCCACCTGTTTTTAAATGGGGTTGTTTTTCTCTTTGTTGTTTCTGTCTACTTTCGTAGTAAAAAAACAACAAGAAATGAGCTATTTTAATAAACACTTTACAACACACCTGGGAAGGGAATCATTTTTCCTCCATTTTCCACACTGAAATTCCCAGAGACCCTTGCATAACTTCTACCTCCAGGTACCATCCATAATGAGGTTTCAAAAAATGCATTCATTCCTCCAACAAATAAATAAGCTCCAGTTTCTTCCCCCTCTGGAAAGTGGACGGAGGCTCCGGGAGCGGGCCCGGGCGTCGGTGCATCGGAGGGTGGCTGCAGCCTCAGGCTGACCCCCTACCTAGCAGCCGGGTGACTCATCCCTGATGTCCTACCTTGATGTCTTGGCTAAGATTCCTCAGGAAGGGAGGGTTGTCTACAGTGGAAGGAACCCCTGGGCCCATGTCCAGTCACATCACAAGACTGGATGGCTGGTGTCAGTGGCTTCCTCAGCCAATGGGAGAGGCTTCGCCCGGCTCATGTTCTGCTGCGGTAGTCGGGCCAAACAGATGGCTTGGGATAAACAGGGCGGTGGTGGCTTTGAGTGGCCTCAGCCTCCCTCTGGGTCCCGGGGACAGAGGCGGGCGAGGGGAAGGCCATGCCTGAGGACGGGGCTGCGGCTCGGAGCCTTCGGACCACGTCTGCGAGGTTTTCCAGCAGCGGAACCCTGGTCGGACAAACCCTTACAATGCAGGGGAAGGAAGCTGCTCAGCTGCAGGGTGAGCAGCCCAGAGCTCCTCCCTTCCCCCACACCACGTGGCACCTCAGGGACCTCTGCGTCTCGAGAGAACACGCCGATCCTGTTAACACATAGTATTTATATGAAACCACTCGGGAACTCGACACACTTGGTCTCTGGGAGCCTCTTGGTGGGAGCCAAGGCCCGAGAAGCTGGCCCCAAGTCAAGCTCCGACCTGAGATACTGGCCCTGCTCCACCAAGCCAGGCGGCCTCCTGCTTATCCCTCACCAGCCAGTGCGGGGGACCTGGCCAGGGCTGTGGGCTGGCCAGTGTGTGGGTGCGCCGAGGGAGCCCCAAGAGCTGCAGGGACCTGGTCTCCCGGCTTGCCCAGGCTCCCTTCCAGCAGGGCAGCCTGAAACGCGCTCTCTGTCTCCCTGTCCTCCCGCTCCCCTTCGTCCCCACTCTCCCTCCATCAGAACTGCCTGGTGCACCGGTCCTGGGCAGTGGCCTGGGCCCCTCTCCCGGCTCCTCTCCTCAGCGGTCCCACCCCTGGCCCGGACACTTATATATGGAGGGTCCTCAGACCCAGACTCGGTCCTCAGCCCCGTGAGCCCGTAGCCCCCACCCAGGATAGTCCTGTGGGGTTTTGTTCTTTAGCGAGAAAAAGGACCCAGCTTTGACCCTGGGATGGCACGTGGCACCATCGGCAAGGACAAGAACAGAGAGTTGAGGGAAGAATTTTACTCTGAGTTTTAATGACCTCATCCTCACACTGCAGGGCTACTTTGAGGATTAAATGAGATAATGCACAGTCACGCCCAACGTCACCCAGCTCAGCGAGAAGCAAGGGCACAGCCGGATCCTGTACACCTGTGTCAGCTCAGGTGTCAGCTCAGGTGAGGCGTTGCCCCCTCTGCCTTCCAGCTTTCTCTCCTGCAAAGTGCACACACGAATACCTACCCTTCACAGACGCCGTAGAAGCGGAGAGAATTCACAGAAGGTGCTTAAGGGTGCTGGCATAGGAAAAGTATTAAAAATATAGTAACAGTTGCAATTATTGTTATTGTTACTGTTATTGTTACTATGACTATTATTTAATGAGAAGGGCAGTGTGGTTTTGCAGTTCAGCATATAGACTCCAGAGCCAAATTACCTAGGTTTAAATTCCAATTCATTGCTGGAGCTGTGTGACCTTATACAAGTTACTTAACCTCTCTGTGCCTATATTTTGGAATCTGAGTTCCATCTACCTCATGGAGTTGCTGTGAAAATCTAGTTACTGCACGTGGAGTGCTTTGAAGAGCACTTGGCAAATTGCAAGTGCTACCGTCGTGTTTACTGTCCGCAGTGGTGGTTGCATCAGGATTTGTATTATTATTATTAACAACCAGACCCTGTGAAAGCCTGTACCTTGGACCCCGTTACGGAGAGCTACCACCAACATAATCACCATCCCACTAATGGTTCAGTGGCTCAAAAGCGGTGTGACCTTGGGCAAATTACCTCCCCTCTCTGAGCCTGCTTTTATCTATCTACAAAATGTGAATTACAGGAGCAAGTACCCAAAATGGTACTTCTAGGTTGTTAGGCTTCAGTAATGAGTGGTGAACCGTGGGAAGCCTCTGGCTTCTCCTTAATGAGGCCCTTGTCCCATGCCTAAGTCCAGCTCCACCCCACCCCTTGGGGGAGCGCTTGGATTCCGTCCTGCTCGGGGTGCCCGCGGGTGCTGCTGGGCGCCCCTGCCAGGCCCTGTTCTGGGGGCCGCGATCCTGCAGCCATGCCCAGCTTCCCCAGGGATCAGGTTTCTGCTGACGCGATGCCAGGCACGTCTGCTTCCAGGAACAGGCAGCCGCATTTAGCCGCGGGCCGCACATGAAAGGGCTGCAGTCGGAAACGTGACGTTGTGTCAACGGGCGAGGCAGGTCAGCGCTGGGTGAGACCATCCCGGCAGGCCCGAGGGTCACACCCTGTCTGAACGCCACCAGATCCCAGCCTCCGCTCCCCTGCCTCCTGCCACCTCTCCTGGGCCCCACACCAGGGCTTCGCCCCCTCACGCTCACACCCCTGTTTAAACAGAGGTCCTCTTTGTCCCCATCTCCCTCTGAGCCACTTGGAACCTGCTGCAGCTCCGCTAGAGGAAGGTCAAGGGCAGACTGGAAGCAGCAAGGAGGCAGAGGGACAGCTGCCACTCGAGGAGCTCGATGGGGCAGACGCCAGGCAGGGGTTCTCGGGTGACTATAGAGTCCTCAACCCTTTTTAAATGCAGGGCTCCCCAACCACTTCCTTCTGTCTCCACGGCTAGTCCTTGAGTCATGGCCCAGGAGAGGGAGGCGTGCAAAGTGGGTTTGGTCTTGGTTCCCTCCCTGAGCTCCATCCCCAGGGTAAACTTGACTTGTTCAGGTCTTCATCTCAAGAAAAGTCTAGCGCTTCACGGAGGAATTCAGGGGTGTATGGGGCAGGAGCCCTGGAAGCCCAGCCCCAAGGTGCTGGGACACAGAGGACCTTACAGAAGTTGCCGTGCGCCTGCCCAGATGCTTCTGGTACCTGGTCCGAGCAGGTGTGGCACCACGGGAGGCCCTGCCGGCTGGGCTGGTCCGGGCTCCTCCAAGGACGCTGTGCTGCCTGGGGACAATTGTACCTTGTAGCCCCTGCACTCGAGCCAGGCAATGCTCGCTGTCTGCCTGCTGGCTCGTAGGAGACAGGGGAGGTGACGTGTGGAGCCAGCAGACATGATAGGCAGGTAGTGCCTTCGCCTGGCTGGTTGCTGCCTGGGACCCAGACAGCAGAGGGTCTGGAGGACGGGGGTGCCAGATACTGGCCTCGGGAAGCACTGGGACACCTCCGGGAGGGAGGCGGGCGAGGCGTAAACATTCCACCAGGTCATTTCCCACTTTTTTCCCATGGAATTTTTTCCTTTTCATAAGAGCCCTTGACTAAGGAACACCAATATTCATCCACGCACAAACACACCCATGGAGAGGAAGTCCAGGAAGGATGTAGAAAATAATTATGGGATGTTGCCTTCAGCAGCAGTGAGGCAGGATATGGGAAAGCCATCAGACCTTGCTGGACTCGACAAATTCAGACTGCCTTGGCAAAGGGCTGCTGCCCCGGCGTCGATGATCGCCGCGTGCCAACGGAGGCATCTTTCCCCAGGGCGTCCCCCTCCCACGAGCTCCCCGACACCAGGGCCCACGATCCCATTCTTTGATTTTCTGTCAGGTTCTAAGGAAGACTGGGGTGAGGATGTCCTTTTTGCTTAACTGTGGAAGGAGGTGTACGGCGACTGTAAACCTCCAGCAAGGGTGAGTTAAGAAGAACTTAGCAGATATTTACCTACGAAAGTGACTAAGCGTCTTCCGACTGACTGCAGACGAGGCCGGGGAGAGGCGGACGACGGGGCACCAGGAAGACCTCCTTGCTCCCTGCAGACACCAGCGAGGGCAGGGGACCGCCACATTCCACGGCGCAGTTATTTAAGAAAATGCAGGAGACCGTCTTTCTCTTCCACAGGAAAAGTTATTTTATTAAGTACTTTAAAACAACTACTGGACATCGACTCATAGATAAAAATATTTACAATTTCACACCTTCAGGAAGGCTCCGAAATATAAACACTGTACCTCTCCCTAGAGAAAAAAATTATTCTCCTCTTCAAAAAACAGGAATACATTCATTTTTTCTCACTTTGTAGATCAAGTAATTATACAAATAAACATCTGAAACAGTTTCCTCTTTAATATATTTATATAATATATATTTATAACAGTTTTACAAATAAAGGCAACGACTTGATACCAAAATAAAAACAGGAAACGAAAGAGTTAAAACGCGATCTGCGATCAAGCATAGTGCATTTTGAAAAGCTGGTGCAGGGCTGGCTGGACAAGTCAGAAAACAAGTCCTCTGGACCAAAAATAAAAGTTCTCTGAAGGAGACAGAATCCTTTCCAGCGATAAGGACACTCCATGTGCCGCGGGGCGAGGGGATAAGCCTACAGAAAGGGGCTCGTTAGGGTTGGGTGGGCCTTGGAGAAGCTGAGCTTGGTTCAGAGAAGCTTCAGGAGAGAACACCGAGTCTAGCTTTGCTTGTGGAAGGCAGCGACTTGTTACTCAGCCTGACGCACTTTGGGGCGCTGGGAACATCGGCATCGGCACCTCTCAGACCCTGGTTCCGTTCCCTGGACAGCAAGACTTTCTAAGGTGAGACCTAGAAACAGGTGCCCAGGGCCCCGGGGGACTGCTCACATCCCTCGGCAGCTGGCTTGTCTGAAGGCCCTTTCAGTTCCGCAGTAAGCTAATCAATACGAAAGCCGGAGGAGGGAACTACATTCTCTTTGTTCGTCGAGGCAGGGGTGGGGAGCAGACCTGCGGAAATCTCCCCAAACCACTACCGTGCGAGGCCAGTGTCTGCTACCTCACCACTTTGCAGAGAGCTCAGCCTGGCTGCCCTCTCCCTGTGCAGTGAGTCATGGCAACAACACAAGGGAGAAGGGTGGGGTCGAAGAGCTGGCTGGGAACTGTGCTTTGGAAAGCCCTCTTTTGAAAGTACCTTTTTCTCAAAGCCACAGACCCAGATCCCAAAGTGAAGATTGACTCATAGACCAAGACGTTGAAGCTTTTGAAAATCCAGCTGATTCGTATCAGAGGGGGTTATTCTCTGGGTGGGGAAAAGCCCAGAGGTCTGCTACAATCCCCCTAAATCTCCTGATGGCAGGCAATCCTTCATGTCTTCCCTGGGCCAAAAGGAGCTTTAACATCTTAAACCAACACACGCCACACACGCACACACACCCAGCTCTCTCCCCATGCCCCAGCGACCTCGGCACACGCACCAAACAACCTGGCTGCACTCACACACTTTTTTTTTTTTTTGGAAGAAGGGAGGATGAGAAGCGATGCAGCAGGATCCCCTAAAGAGTCTAGTCTTTGGTTTCTAAGTTTAAAGGGGGGATCTGCTTCAAGGCTTGGAGCAGGGTGGAAGAATCAATGGCCGGATGGGGTGGCAAGGGAGAAGGGAGTCTCTGGGGCATGAGCAAGGGACCCGAGATCTTGTCTGGGTTCATGAAGCTGGAGAGGGCTGCAGCGGAGGCATTGAGGCCTGGGTATAACAGGGGGACAGAGGTGGGGTACCAGCACTTCTCCAGCATGGGCAGGTAGGCCGTTGCTGACGGTGGGATCAGATAGAAGGGCAGGCAAAAAGGGGGCTGGTGTGGGTGTGGGCCCAGGAATGGGGAGCTGATCAGGTCACTGCTAGGGAAGCGGCCTTCATCATCTGAGAGCTGCATTCTGCTCTTTTTTGTGGGGGGTTCTTCGGATTCTTGCTTAATAGCACCGATCCGTTCTCCTGCAGTGAACCTGCGTCCATGATCATTTTTGAGGTACGGCTGCTCGCTGCGCAAGTCACCTTTCTCCAACTCGCCTCCATAGCCACTGTCTGTGTCTGTGTCGCTGCCACTCTGCTCCCCACTCGAGTGAGCGAAAGTCCGCTGAATGACGGGCACACAGTTCTTCCCAGGGCCTTCGGAGCTTTTGGCCAGGGAGCTGGGCTTCTCCTTGAAGTCCATGGCTTTGGGAGCTGGATCTGCCACCTTCCGGGAGGTGCCGCCCTGCAGCAGCTCCGAGACCACCCGGTGCAGGTGGGTTACGAGCTGCGAAGACTTCAGGTCCCGAGTGTTCTCGTGCTTGGCCAGGTACTGCAGCACCTCCCGGGCACACGTCTGGAAACCCGAACAGAACATCTCTTGACCTGCTTCCACGTTTCTTCCTGACAGCTCACCTGGATCAACACAGAGGCAAAGGAAGGCGTTTCAGAAGGCCCCGAGGTTCACCTGGACACCAGTGCTCCAAAGGCCAGGAGCTCCCCTTTTGGTTAATACATTTGCTCATTTGTGCTCCTAACTCCAAAAGTAACACGGTCAGAGAATATGTGGACTGCACTGAAAAGTATAAGGAACAAAATAAAAGTCTTCCGTGACCCTACCATCCAGAGGCAACATGAGTGTAATGGCTGCATAACATCCCCGTCACAGAAAGAGACCGTAATTAATAGAGATGAACTACCTCCCCTCTTATTGAATTTGCAGGTTGTCCCCGAGTTTGCCTTATAAGTGACACAGCCGTGGGCACCCTAGTATGTTTATAAACCAAAGAGTCAATTGACAGAACATCAATTTCACTGTGACAAGATGGACAGATGCCAGATGGTCACAAAATGACAGAAAGCATGAAGGAACAATGTCATCTAGAGTAATCTTATTTTCGATGACCTATACCCATGTCAGTCATGCTGTCATCTTTAAACAGAGAGGCTATTTCTCAGCCTTTTTCTCGTATTCGATCCACGACCCCTAAGAAGAGAGGCTCGATCCTCTTTCTGTCGTCAGCGCGGAACCTGGCGGAAGCACGAGCTAGGGCTCTGCTGCTCATCCCACCAGCCTCGGCAAGGAAGGCAGAGGAGGATGGGGTGAGGGAGGGGCAGGAGCGGCCTCCCCAGCCTGTACAGTATTATCTGGAAGCAGTGGCAAGAGGCTTGAGGGTGAGTGTGATTCTCTGGAAGTGAGTAGAATCGAATGATGAAACCCCAGTGGTTTCATGAGGTTGCGCAATTCACCAAGATACCTAGTGGCTATTCAGGGAACCACATGAAATGCAGGAAAAACTGCTGTCATCCTGCCAGGATCATACCACACACCGAGCCCCGAGGAAGCAAAGCCTGAAAACTGGGGCACACTGGTGCTTTCTCTCCGGTGAGAGAGGGCAAGGAGACCAACTACAGAACACCCACACTGCAACCCTAGGTGCCTTCGCCTTTTAAAGGGGAAGGGGAAAACTCCCGGAACCCAGAGACTCTGAAGCCAAAATGCCACAGAAATATTTTAGCATCTGACTAACAGGTACGCCTGCCAGGTGGCACACAGCAGCATTCCGAATGAAAAGTCTGACCTTTCAGGAACGATAGACCGGCGTCTCCCCCAACGAATGTGCACGAGCCATTCGGTGCAGGAGTGTTTCTGACAGCAGAGTCGGCCCCAGGCTGGGGGTGCCAGAGCTCCCCAGAGAGGCTAGGACGCAGGCACTCACCAGCTTGGAGGCCGCTCTGCAGGGCCATGATTTTCTGCTGCTGCTGCTCAATTAGGTTCGTCAGCGCTTTCACGTGCTTCAAGGTGAGTTCAAGAACCACTGCTTTCTCCAGGTGACCCAGAGTCTGGAATCAAAAGAACCTCGGTCAGCAGTGAGCTCAGACAGGCCCCACCTCCGGGACACTTATTAGCAACGAGAAATGTCTCTAAAGGAAAAAAAAAAACAGCAAACCGAACCGAGGTCGCCTTTCCTGGTCGGCTGCATTTAAAATGTATGGATTCAAAAACATGTACTTCTGATTAAAGTCAAAAACTGAGTGCCACCTGTGTCCGGGCAGGCGCTGTGGAAGCAGCCGCTGCCTTAGGGAAAAGCCGACAGATTTCAGCAGCCGCTGCTGACCTTACTCAGGGGAACCCAGTGAACATTTCTCTGCAGTGGTGTCACCCCAGGAGGGACTTCTACTGTGTCTGGCAGCCAACAGGCGTTCTCTGTGTCTTTCCTGACACCCGTTCACAGCTCCAGCTCATCCAGGCTTTTTGCTTCCTTCCCAAATACTATTTTTTTTCCTTTCCCCAACAACGGCTGCCAAGCCAGTAAGCTGTTTGCTACTGCCAAGAAAGGACAGGGCATAAAAAATCACATACCCAAACAAGTCCTCTTATTTACAGAAAGAAGAAAAAAAAAAAAGGAGAAATGGGGGTAAATAAAATCTGAGTGTTGGTTGGTTTACTCGAGTCAGGAAAACTTGGGAACCCTGAAAATCACCAGAAGGGAAAGTCTAACACTCATGCAAAGGAAGGCCGGCTGGCGTTGAAGCCAACTTGGAGAAGTTCAAGTGGTTCTCACCTCATTTGCCTGAGGCTGTCAGAAAAATCCCAGCACTGGGGAAGGGTACCCCTAAACAGAGCCACCCCGGCTGGGACCCAGCCCTCTGCTCTGCAGTTCCCCGCGGGGCCTGCAGGCGGCGGATGACCCCCGCCCGCCCTCCAGGCAGGGGAGCCGGCTTGGAGCGCGGCCAGCTTCTCACTTACTGTAAGTTTGAGATGTTCGGGTAGGAGATCCTTCAGTTGGGCGATGCACTCGTTAATCCGGTCACGTCTCTTTTTCTCGATGAGCCGGTGCGGCAGTTTGTAGGTCTCCTGCAAGGAGCACGGGCAGGCGGTGGGTGCCGGAGGAAGGGGGCGAGAGAGCCCCCTTCTCCCCCCCTTGTGGCGCGGTAAGAGTCGGGCAGCGCAGTAGAGTCACACCCAGAACCACCAACTCCTGCCCCTTCTTCCCAGAGCCACTCGGTAGAGGCGCCGAGCCCGCACCTTGCATACCCCCTTCCAGCCTCTGAGTGAGAAAACTTTTCTTGGAAACTCAGTGCGTGCTAGGGGTTGGGATTCCAAGGGGCGCACGGGGTTCTTACCTTGCTGTCTTCACTCCGCTTTATTCCCCGCCTCGACTTGTACACTTGGTACATTTGGGCAAAATCCATCCTGCAGGGAGAGGGACCAGGAAGGGTTGTGAGTTTGTGTGCGCTCCGGCTGCAGAGCCTGGAGGGCAAGAACCCCCGGATGCGCCCGGAGCTGCTCCAAGTCGAGAGCGGTGAGGAACGCAGGGCTGGAGTTGAGGCTTGAGGGGTCCGGGGTGCCTACTTACCCTGGTAGGTCTCCGGGCTCCAGTCCTGGCGCCTTGGGCAGGCAGGAGGGGGGCGGCTGCGCGCTGGGGATCCGCTCCATGGCACGGCGAGCCGGGGCCACTGTGCGCGCCTGTCTGCAGAAGAGCGACGGTGAGGACAGTCCTGGTGGGGCCTCGGAGCTCTCTCTGCTGGGCTTCCTCTAGATCTCAGCTCCCTGAGAGCCGCTGGGCTGCCGGGGTTGCGGCTCCGAGGTGCTTCTGCTTCAGCTGGGGGCGTGCATTGGGTGTCCGCGGCCTCTGGCTCCGGCTCTGCGCACAGCCTGGCGGTGTGTGCTCCCAGTGCCTTCTGCGCCGTGTGAGCCAAGTGAATGAGAAGTGGAGAGGGCGGGGAGGCGGGAGGGAGCGCGGGGGGGGGGGGAGCGCTAGGGCGGGGGCCGAGGGAGGGGGGCGAGCCGTGGAGTAATGGAGAGGCTGCGGGCTGGGTTAAATGGGAGCGAGTGGGTGGGTTGGAGCTACGTGTTCTACCCTGTGACTCCAGGCACGTCTGGCCGCTGCCGGGGAGGGAAGGAGCGACCTGCCCGCCCTCCCCCGGCTTCATCACATGAGTCTCACGTGTTGGACAACGCTCTCGCGGCTGCGAGGGGCCCCCACCCCCACCCCCAGCCCCCAGGTGTCTGCGGTGTGGCTGCCTTTCCCCGAAGAGGGGGTGGCAGCGCGGCCTGGGTCCTGCCCAGCCGGGTGGGGGGCGCAGAGGCTTGAAGGGGAGCCAGGGGGTGGGTGGTAACGTGGGCGAACCTGCCCCAGGGAAATGAAGTAAGTTCCCGTCTCCTGGGAGGGGACGGGGGAGGACGGATCCGCCAGCGTCTGACTCAAGCCGGGAGAGGAATATCCCCTCGCTCGCTCCAGCCCAGCCCTCTTCCTCCTCCCCCGCCCGGCTGCTCGCAGGAACCGGCGCGCAGCGGAGGGAGCCGCCGGGCCCCCTGCCTTCCCCAGAGGTTGGGGTTTCTTCCCGTCCCGGCTTCCCTGCCCCCACCCCGTTGCCCAGCGTCCAGGAATTGCCCGCCGTGGGGAGGGGCCGAGGGGCGGGGCGGATGTCACCCCATGGGAAGCGGGCTGGCGGCCAAGCGCAGGGGCAGCCGAGGCCGCGGGCGAGCACGCTGCGCGCACCTGACCGCCGAGGGTGTGCGCGGCGGCCCCCGCCCCCGGAGCTCTGGTGGCGGGCACAGTCTACGGGCCGTGGGCACCCACGTGCGCACCCCCTGGGTGCCCCGGCGCCCCCACCCCCACTCCGCTAGACAAGCACAGAGACACCGGGCGCGGCGCCCTGCGCTCCCTCCCTCCTCTGCCCCCTCCGGAGCAGGGCGTCCGTGTCGCCTCCCCTCCGGCTGCTGCGTTACACAACCGCGGCGGGGACGCCTGCCCTGCAGTGGCCGCGGTGGGACGCTTCACGTGGCCGCGGCTCGGGCTGCAGTGCCGCCGGCCCCGTGCGGGGACCGAGACCCGGGACGCGGTGTGCTCGCCGGGCCGGCCACCTCCGCGCCTGCCAGGAACTTGGCGGCGCTGTGTGCGGTCTGCGCGCAGGGCGGGGGACAGAGGGGCCGCAGGGGTCGAGGCATCCAGTCCCCACGCCTCGCTGAGCCCCTACTCTGTGCCCGGCGCTGTGCCCGTGGTCGACACTGGGGACATCAAACACAGATTCTGCCCCAAATTTACAGGAACCTCTGGGAGGAGGACAGATTGGGCAACGAGGGGCAGGCAGCCTGGGAAAATTATATCGGGGCCACTGGCTGGCAGAGAAGAAAAAAAAAAAAAAGGTTTTTGTTGATTTTTTTTTTTTTTTTTTTGCGGTTTTGTGGTTTTGTTTTTTAATTTTATTTCCTACGAACTGAGGTGCCTGGGTGGGGGAGGAGGGGGAGACGCCCGGGGCAGAAAGTCCTCCGCGAGCCCCAGGTCTCTGCCATCCCCGCCGAAGCCTCCGCCCGCCACCTCCCCCGGAAAAGTCCGGCCTCGGTGACCTTCTGGCTCAGCCCGGAGCCGGGAAAGGCCAAGGCCGGGCCGAGCCCGCCGAGCAGCCGGAGGAGGGAGCCAATGGAAACTCATGACTAAAATAAGGCCCGCGGGGATTTCACTGACCTCCGCGCTGCCCCGCCGCCGCCCGGGAGTTGACAGATGACTGTCAGCCTTTCCCACCGCCGGGGTCAGCCACCCCGCAGCGAGGAGGGCTGGGGACGGGGGGGCACTGCCCGGCGGGGCGGACAGACCTCGGCGCGCGCGCGGGGGGAGGGGCGCCGCCGTCGTTCGCAGTGACCTTGACAACCTGCCGCTCCGGGCGCGCAGGGAGCGACCTGGGAGTGGATTTCCTCCGGCCGCTTTGGAGAGCCCCCACTTCCTGTTTATGTTGCACAGGGTGAGAAGTGCCCGCTTTGCTCACTGCCGGCGGGCGGCCTCGCCGGGCTCAGCGGTCCCCCACAGGCTGCTGCTGCTGTCGCGGGCTCAGCCTCTCTGGGCCGAAGGGCGGCACCGCCACTTCCTGCCCGGAGCTGGGCAGCGCGGCCCAGGCCGGGCCACCGCGTGCCCTGGCCTTGTCTTCAGACCCGGCCACCTGCCCCGCGGGGCGACTTCCACGGCGCAGCGCTGTCACGACGGTGGCAGAACCGCGGTCCCACCAGGAGTGAGCGCTGCGGGGAGGAAGGGCCGCATGTCCCCGCAGCTGTCCCCCCCCCAGCCAGGAGGGAACCCAGACTTCTCAGCTTCCGGGGCTCAGGGCTCATGACAATATCATTTTAGAAGTCGTTGAACTTATCAATACTTCTTGCCCCTTACCTGACCTACACTTGGAGATAACAAAATAGACTTATTTCCTGTTTTTTTAAAAATTTGTTCCTCTTGTACTCTCAAGCTTCGAGAATTATCCTCACTCTACCAAAGTTCTATCGTATACAGGTTGTATCATGTGTAGGGTTTCCTGGGCTCAACAGCTTATGCTTATTTTTCATTTAAACAGAATTCCTTCCAGCGTGTACCTTTCCGGCCCGAAGACCTTAACATTTCAGCGTGTCATCTTTTGTACATGTTTGTTGTGCTAGTTTTTAGACGGTATGTAAAAACGTTGCATATGTACCTCAGGTACTCCTCACCGCCACCTTATGAGGCTGGTTCTTACATTTATGTCACACATATGGACTGAGAACCGCTACATGCCAGGCACTGAACTAGGTACTGGGGATACAGAAGGTGTCACGAGGGAAAACTGAGGCATAGGGAAGTTAAACAACCTGCCCTAGGTCATACACCCTGGCATTAGAATTGGAACTAGACCGTTGACACCGCAGATTGTGAGAGCACCCTCTAGAGTTGTGCAGGGTAGCACTGAGCAGCTGTGCTGGGCAATCCCCGCATTGTATAGCCCTCCCTCTGTGTTGTCTCCTCTAAGTGTGGAGAGAACATATTTTGTACGAGGGAAGGACAGATATTTCCTTCCTAGAGAGGCTCAGCGTTTTGGTGGTCTGACACGGAGTCCTGGGACGTCTATCCTGTTACTGTTGCTCAGAGATCATGTTTATGCAATTTCCAATTTTTCAACCCCTTAAAGTCCTAAAGTACTTTGTTAATGGACTCAGAGAATGTAGCTCATTCTGTGTATCTTGATCTAACATTGGTATGCTAATTCTTGTTGATATTTCATTCCTTTTTTTAGAGTTTGCTGAGATGGCGTATACTGGTGAAATTAGCAAGTGCTAATGAAGATTTATTGATTATAAAACAGCGTTCTTTAGAGCAGTTTAAAGCATTGCAAAAATATTTTGGACTTTAAGCTATTGCTAGCAGTGCTCTGGTGAAGTTAACATTTTTTTTTTCTTAAAGTAAATAACACTGTATATCCTAATGCATTTATCCCAGCAGTTAGGATTCATGGGGGATGTTATCTCTGTATGCTTCCACAATATGTTAGTTTGATACAACTTTAGAGAATTTGATTTCAAAGTGAAGATCAGTCCATTTAAAATCTTATCTATAGAATAGCGGAACTGGGAAAATAATTTCCCTTTAAAACGTGTCTCCAGAAAAGACACATGAATAAACATAACTTAATATTGTTAAATATATTACAAAGCCCTCTGAGATCCAAATATAACTTACATTTGTAGGCTGCATAGTCATGTCTAGTAAAATGAAAGTGAGCCTCAACATTTTGTATCACAGCTCACAGTAAGACATGGGTGCGTGCACACACACACACACACACACCCCCTCTTAAGTTCCTTTGAACATAACAGACAAGGCTGGGTTGGGCCATCGCAATGAGCAACCACTACCCTCTCTTTTGTACTCCTGAGTAACCACTGACCACTTAAAAAGAGTCAAGTCATTTAGGAAGAAGCAAATCTAATGCATTTCAGACAAAAATTTCACTGAACAACACTTCCCCTTGGTATACGCATTCTGATATTTTCTAGTCTAGTCAAATCAATTTTATTAAAAAAATTTTTTTCTGGTCTTGACTTACTAAATTGATTTCACCCCACCAATAAATCCTGACCTGCATTTTGAAAACACACTGTCCACTAGAGAGAGTGTTGTAATTTTGGCTTGTCCTCACCAGAAAGAAATCGATAGCATTTGCACACTTGAAGATCTTCCAAGTGATTTATGAAAAGACTGCTGGTTCAGGGGTATGGAGGTCTCCATTCAGGAGACAATGCTCCATTGTAGGGGTGAACGTTCAGAGTTTTGTCAATACATATGATGCTGTATGTTGGTGATGTATCTCCTTCATCAGCTGAGGAAGTTTTCTTCTATTGCTGGTTTGCTGAGACAGTCTATCATCCATGGATGTTGAATTTGTCAAATGCTCTTTCTTGCATCCATGGAGAAAATCACATGATTTTTCTCTTTCATTCTGTTACTCATTTTGAGTCTTAAACCAGCCTTGAATTCCTGAGAGAAGCCTATCTTGATCATAGTGCATTGTCTTTATTTTTTATTGCTAGATCTGATTAGCTAATATTTGTTGAGGATTTTTGTGTCTATGATTGTGAAAGGTATACATCTGTAGTTTTTCTTCTTCTTGTAGTTCTTGTCAAGTTTTAGTATCAGAGTAATGCTTATAAAACAACTTGGGAAATATTTCTTCTCTTTTCTAGAAGAGTTTAGGTAGGGTTGGAATTGTTTCTTTCTCAAATAGTAGGAGTTGCTACCTGAGCCTGGAGGTTTCTTTGGGGGAAGGTTTTTGCAATGCATGAGTTTCTTTCATAGACATCAGGTTAGCCCTGGCAGGTGGCTCAGTGGTTGGAGCTTCGGCCCGTGACTCTTGGGGTTGTGCAGGAGGCAACCAATCGATGTGTCTCTCTCACATCGATGTTTCTCCC